AAGCGGATGGGTTTATCTCTAAGACGCCGTACAACAATATGCCAAAAGCTTCCTGCAGATTTTGAGGGAAAACTACTAACATTTCAGCGGTATGTCATCACACTTCGGAAGGAAAAGAATTTTTCAATGGGGCAAATTGGCAACGCTGACGAGACGCCAATTTGGTTTGATATGCCTCGTAACTACACCATTACGGAGAAGGGGACTAAGGAAGTTATCATTCAAAACTTCGGGATGTGAAAAACAACGCGTAACAGTGATGCTGGCAATAACAGCAGACGGGTGCAAACTTCCCCCTTTCTTAATCTTCAAACGGAAAACATGCCCTAAAACCCCTAAGAATGAAAAGCTGTTCCCAGATGATGTCCTGATTCGAAACCAAGAGAAGGGGTGGATGACGGAATCATTAATGCTTGATTGGCTCCGAAATGTATGGAAACGCCGTCCCGGTGGGCTCTCCAATCCACCATCAATGCTTTGTCTGGACGCATTTCGTGGTCATCTCACCGACGACGTAAAAAAGAAGATGCACAGCCTAGGCAGTGATCTTGTTATCATTCCTGGAGGGATGACGTCTGTGTTACAACCCCTGGACCCCTGGACGTTAGTATAAATAAACCTTTTAAGGGGTACGTTCAGGCGGAGTACGAAAAATGGTTTTGTGAGCCAAACCGTGAATTGACCCCGACAGGAAAAATTAAGCGTGCTGCACCGCACATTGTTGCACACTGGGTTTCTGCTGCCTGGAAAAGCATCGAAGCACCAATGATTGTGAAATCTTTCAAGAAATGCTGCATTTCAAATTCATTGAATGGCAGTGAAGATGACGTGCTCTGGAACGCCGAGGATGACGATGATGATGAGGAAAGAAGAAATGAATCTGCTTCTGACGAAGAGAGCTGCGAGGATTCCAGTGATGAAAACATTAGTGAATAAAGACGTTTACTATTAATCACTGATTGTAGAAACTGTTAGCTAGATAGAAATGTTACGATTTATTTCATGTTTTATTTTACGATAGGTACCGTATATACGGTAGTGGTAATTAACAATGATTGTTTCACAACAATAGCCCACTAATAGGTTAATTCTATGTTCTGCTACTTTACGCATAAATCCATTGTTGTATAAAATATGGTATCTAAATTTAAATAAAATTATCATACCATTGATTGATAGTTTATGTACAAATCCATTGCTGTATAAAATAAGATTCAATAAATTCCTCATACCATTGATGCGCATTACATTCGCCGACAAACAATTTTTTTTATTATTTTAAGTTTTAAAATGGGGATGCGCATTAGATTCGATGTCGTATTAGATTCGCATAAATAGTGTATGTAACTGACTTTCGTCACAACCAACAAATCGACATCCAAAAAAATTGTTTGCACGCTGTTCATGAAAATGTTAACGACACTTTAAGAATAAACGGAAACAAAAAAATATATAATTTTCATTAAAACAATATCAGATTAACAAATGTGAAAGAAAATAATTTGACTAAGCAATTTTTATAGAGGTGACCTCATGCAGTTATTTACCTTCCTTTTTCTAATCATTTTTAGACTGTATTTATCATGAAAAATTATCAGTTAAACTTTATAAAAAAAGCTTAATTTATTAATGACCTTTGTTAATTAACTATGTAAATTTAAAATTGTATTAAGCCTTTTAAGCTGCATTAATTTTCTACTCATTTTCGATTTTTAAATGCTTAAGTTTCCTTCTTATTTTTTCAGCACAAATTTATTAGTTAGATGAAATAAAAAGTAAAAGAATCCCTCTTTCCTTGTTGCGGTCTATGATCTTTATACGAACATGCATTTACAATTCTCAAAACCTGAAAAATCATGTGTGCGATGATTTGTAGGAACTTTATTTTTTACCACGATATTTTTGACGACGATGCTTTTTAAATTGCGAAGTTTTTGAACCGCTTTATTTTCGACCACGATATTTTGTACCACGATGTTTTAGAACTGCGATGTTTTCTCTTTGCGATCTTTTCTCCCACGATGTTTTGTACCACGACGTTTTCTCCATGCTTTGTTTTCTCCACGACGTTTTCATCCATGATATTTTTGCCGCGACGGTGTCGGCGGACACCGTTAAAGACAGTGTATCAAAGCAATTGGGCAAAGTTATTAAACTGCCAACGGTTCTTTCATTAACTTCAAGGATTCCATTTTTATATACATGTAACTTATTTGGACTCTAGTGAAAAGCAACGAAACTAGAAGTGACAGTAGAAATAAAAAAGATAATGAATGAATTAATCTAAACCTTACAAATTAAAGTTATGAAAGTGCTGCTACTCTTTGTTCCATTTATAAATCTGTAAATATTTTGTACTATGGAGTGAAATCTGAATGCATTTGCCTTATCAAGAGACATGTTTATATTCAGGCAGCCTGACATCAGGACTCCAAAAGCTGAAGCAAGATAATATGTTTGTTTTGTTCTGGAACTTTTGTTTCACAACATATTAATTAACTACCTTTGTAGTTATAACATAAGTTCATTGCCTCGACCCGATTTTTCACCTCATTTTTCTTAGAAGTTGCTTGCCAAATGGAAGCATTGCTTCTCCATGTATTGTGAACCAACCTGGTAACTGCATAGAAAAAAAAAGAGTAGTAACTTTAATTATTACAATATTACATATTATCACTGGAGATACACATGCCCGTAAGTTTCAAAGTCTTTGTCATTGTTAGAAAATGAATTAAAATGAAATTTTGTAAATCAAACTCAGAATGTTTGATAACGGATATGAAAACCAGTTCAAAAAAGCATTAAAAAACTTTAAAATTATTAACCGTTTTATGAACACAGTATGCTTATAAAGCTTCTCATGCGGATTAAACTCCCTACATGTTTGTCATGGGTGAAGAACTTATCATAAAGCACCTTCTTCCACATAAGACTGAAGAACAAACATCATACATAATGGTAGCGCTCATTTCATGAAACTGATCACAATTTCCACTAAAATCAAACAAGGAATCCTCTTTTTTTTTACAATACTGTTTTTTATTTCCAAAAAACATCTAGAATATTTTCAAAATATTAGTGAAGTGTAAGGATAACAGCTTGATAACTTTATCTTTATTTCTGTTTCAAAAAACAAATAATATACTCCGCATCTGAAAGTAATCTAAAAGATAGCAATTAAATTTTCCATTAAAAGTATTTATAGTAGTTTCAGGAGATGATTTATTATAATGCATATAGTAAACTAGAAAATTTCCTTTATTTCTGTGAGTGCCATTTTCAAACCTATTGAGGAGACTGTTTAAAAAGGCAAGATTTTTGAAATTCAGTTTATAGATTTATAGGCATTTCTTTTTAAAATTTCCCGTAAAACCTTTCCAACCCCAACCACGACTTTCAAATCATTAAATAAATTTATCTTTCTCATTCCAGTGTCCCTAAATAATGAGTGTACTTGTAATGCTTCTCCTCTTTCCAGCCCCAGAAACGTTAAATAACTTTTAAAATAATAGAAAACATTTTAAGTAATTAAAAATCTTAATGTTCCAAGTATAAAAAAAGAACTTAAGTTTCAGTAAATGACCTTAAAAGGACCTTAAAAGAAAAAAACATATTAATTTGAAGAAAATTATTGAATCAGTTGTAGGGTTTATATTTATTTTAACTAGCATTTATTTTAAGTTTGAGCTATCTTTCCTGTCAAGCCTTTACTTTCCCCTAGAATTGCCAATGCCAGAGTATGTAAATCATAGTAGAACGCGCAGAGTATTCAAATTTTAGCAGAAATAATTGACTTTAAATAGAAGGGAAGCTAGATTTTAAGTGTGCTTCTTGAATCACGAGCGTAAAGACTGCTTGGTAGAAAGTTTAAGAACTGCGCGTTTCGGCCTGTGTGCCTTTTTCGACAGTTCGTTGAATCTTTCAAATTCTTAATCAGAAAGTTTGTTGAATCTCAGCTGTAGCTTAGAACGCGGTTACGATAGTTACGATTATAGAGCTTTGTAGATAGTGACTTCGTTAGTTATTCATCCTGTCATTTATATTTAGTTGTACTTTTCTATTTTGTTTAACCGCCGGGTCGGCGTAGTTTGTGAGCGTCAAGTGAACGCAACTGTAATTTCTAAAGTGAAATAAAAAGGAAGTCAAACCCTTCTTAAGAGTCTGTGTAATTTCCAGTTCATAGCAGTCACTACTACTATTGCTGACAAGTTGGGGCCTCCCAACATCACACAATAACAGAAATTTCAGAAACTTAAGTAGAAATAATTTACCGTTATAGTTATCTTTACGGGCTAAAGCCAATTATTTTTTCAACTGCGCCCAGTATTGCTATTAGTTTTATAATACTATTGAAGCATTATATCCATTTTTATGAAATTTCTGCAGCGTTTTGCCGAGAGATAACTCGTGATACTTAACAGTATTCTGTAAATGAAGAGAAGATCCACAGAATAGCTTAAAGTGATATGGCTGTCATTGGTTTATTAAGCTGATGTTCTTTATTTCTTAGAAATACATTTATAAGATTTATACCTCCACATACAAAGAAAATGTCCTAAATGTGCTGTACAACAAAGTCACAAGAAAAGTTACATTGCTTTCTATGAAAAGAACTTGAAGAACCTGCATGGCCTTGAATTTTGGGAAGTTTTTCAAATTAAAACGAATTTTTAGATCCTCCTTACAGCACATTGTAAATCGTCACAAAGTATGTACATCCTTATTTTAAAATAGTTATTGAAAATGAGTAAAATTAAAGACGAAAACACTAGATTTTCTTGAAAGAAATAGTACACAAGAATGTTATGCTGAAAAAAAAAATGTGTATAGAAATATTAACTGCCCAACGGATCAACATGCCATGTATGAAGAATCAGCAAAAATAAGTATGTGTTTTTGTAATGAGTAGGAAACGGTTTGCATGTCTTTTTAGATGAATGAAGTTGATACCAAAGGGAAAAAAAACCCGGAATAAAATAAGAAATTAAAAGCAAGCAAGTAATAAGAAAACATTTATCTTTTATTCAAGTCCGAATTTTACACTCAATCAATTCGTAAATACATTTATTTTCCATTACAAGTACACAAGCGAAGCACACGACAGAATAATAGCACTGTACATTTGCATTCAGATTTAACGGTGTTGGAATCCAGTTGAACGGGCTGGCTGCATGGGCGTTTTTGTGGTTTTCCCTATGTGTAACGTTTATACCAGCCAGTTTTTCTTAGAAAGTCCTCCACGAAGGCATCCTTATCTTAGGCAGACAGTCTTCGTGTGCTTTGACATAATAAGAATATATGTAAATCCCTGAAAATTGTTTTGTAACGTGTTATGAAAATGAAACTGGCTACTAAATAATATGTAGTGTTCTTGAATGATATGCCAAGCAAAGATATTTCGATAATACCACTTGTTTCAAAGCTTATCAGAGAAACTTGATTTAATGTTGTGTGCGTTAAAACGTTCTTCTCCTCTTTTCCGATGTCTTCGAATACTGTAAACTGACTAGACGACACTGTCTATACTTCCATAGCAGGATGACATGAGAGAAGGTGTCAATGTCTCTGCACTTGCCAAAGGGGGTACATTTTTAGCTCGTTTGGCAATTCTGAAAGAAAATTTTAGTATTAGATCTTCCTTTAATAGTTCTAATAAATCTAAGAATCATAAAGTACAAAAAGCCAAACAATAAGATTAATGGTTTATGCAAAGTCCAAACAGCAATACTTTTTGTAGATCTCAAAAATGTATTTGATATTCTCTGATGACCTGCATTTAGGCAGACTCTGACAAATGCACGATGCCCTGCCAACATATATCAAACCATGTGCAGTTATTTATCAAACTTAATTGCCTCGCTCCCTACTGCGTGCCTTAAAACGCGAACTCTCACCATTGCCAATAAGAACAAGTAGGTACGAGAAACCAAATGAAGTAGAAACTCGCATCTACAAATATTTCTCTACAATACCGTAGTAGAAAAGTAGTAACTTATGCCGCAGGTATGTGGGCATGCCCTATGTGCGGGCGAAAAGCCAAAAACCTGCGCACAGTGCAACGCCCATTCACCTTAAGGATTACCAGGGAGTGCCTTACAGCATCTATAGACACTATAAATGTCCCATCAGATTTAATACCTCTCACAGTACGAGTGGAACAAGAAGCTACTCCAAAGTCCAACACTTGGATCAAGACATTAACTACAAACAATACAATTTTAAACCCAAAGACATCGAAAATTCCAATATACTTCATATACATCAGCAATAAAAGGCGCAGGAACATTTTACAAATAAAAATAATACGGAAACAATCACTGCTGTTTATACAGACCGAAGGCTTTGAAAGTTCATATGTAGATATGAATAAATCCAAGACTATCACTAGAAGGACTAGAAGGACGCCTAAAAAGAAATAACAGCGCGTTTCAAGCTAAAGTACTAACACTCGAAAAAGCCATTACCTGCGTTATAAACAACAACTTAATATTGTAAGAATAATTACAGATAGTCTATCTGCATTATATGCAGTAAATAATCATGTCCTTCATCACAGACAATTATAAACATATTAAAGCTTCCGAAAATACCTTGAAACAGAAGATCAAACTAAGTTGAACAAAAGGGCCTGCAGGTCAAACAGGAAAACAACTTGCCGACTTACTTGACAAGGAAGATTCAAATAACGCGGAAGCTTTCCAGTATCAGCTCCCATAATTAGGATCACAACTTAAGCAAATAATCAAACAACTGGCATTATAGCAATGACAGAACACGTGACATAACGGCGATAATTGTCGGCGTACATAATGAATTCTTTCTCAAAGTAATGACGGATGCGTTTTATTCGCAGCAGCGCAATTCACAAGATATGTCAGCGGCCATGGCCCTTAATTATAGGCAGCTATACATATATCTATACATACTACATATATCTATACATAGCTATACATACAAGCGATAAAATCGCTGTGCACTGGTAGGTCCGACCTGGGTTGGAATCCAGTTGAACGGGCTGGCTGCATGGGCGTTTTTGTGGTTTTCCCTATGTGTAACGTTTATACCAGCCAGTTTTTCTTAGAAAGTCCTCCACGAAGGCATCCTTATCTTAGGCAGATAGTCTTCGTGTGCTTTGACATAATAAGAATATATGTATACATAAATTTAATTATTAATCTTCTATTTATGATTATTTCTTAGGAAAGGAAATGTAAAACTATTCCAAAATGAAATCGGGAATGTTAATACCAAAGAAAATGGTGTTAAAACTATTAAAAGTTAACTTAAAGCTAACTTAAAACTTAAAAGCTGTTAATAATTTATAATCGAAAGCATTAAAATCGTACATTTTAAAGAGAAAAAGAATAGCACGTTCATAAATCTAAGGTAGAACAGTACATACATTAAAAAAATAAAAAAAATTAATTATTGCCGATTTTCCGAAAGAGGGTTGAAATTTCTCTTTCTCTCTATATATATTTATGTCTATACTTATTTTGCAATTATATCAACATACTATCAACAACATATGCTCTACGCAATTACGCATTGTCATTCTCGTACATCGATAGATTTGCGAAGATTTCAAAGCGTCCTGTCCTTTTTCTTCTCTTGTCTAAATCTGATGCTACGTTTTTTTAACTAAAGATAAATATATAATTACATTTTTAATGAGCCAACCTATGTTTTCACCTGTGATGATTATATTTTGAATTATTCCTAATTTAAATTTCATAATTTGACAATGAACTATTTAAATACTTTGCAATAAATTAATAGATAATATTTCAGACACATCGATTCGAGTTCTTTACACTCAACAAATTAATTTAAATGGAAGTAATATTAAGAATATTCTATGTTTTCATCTAATTTCTTCCTTCAGATAAAAAAAAATTAATTTTACATTATTAAAATACCTTTTTAATTTACCCTTCTTTTACTCTCGTAACAACAACAGAAAACGTCCGTCTGTTCCCTCCCCAAAGAAAGTATTTTGCTTCTGAAAAAGAAGACAACACTTTTTTGGAGCAAAATCTTTTTGCTATTGAAGAAGAGGAACCTTATGTCAATTCACGCACAAATAATAGAATTTTATTTTAAATCTAAATTTTTTTCTCTTAACTTAGTTAACTCTTAACTTAGTTAGGAACTTAGTTAACGTTTTACATTCTTCGAAATTATCGAAACTTCGTTTCTCTTCCAAGCAGATAATATGATTAAATACATAACTCTTTTGATTTATTTTAGAACTGTTAAAGAAGAGATAACTTTGAAAGAGAGGCAATTAATAATTTTTGTTTTACATATATAAACTGAAAACTAAATCTTAAAAGTTTTTTAGTATTAATTTTTAATTATTTAAATTTCCTAGGTAAATTAAAATTTGCCCTAAAGTTAACAAAAATTTTAAAAATACTTTTGGTGAAAAATTTCGAAATTGTTTAGACATTTTTAGAGACAATAATCGTCTGAGAAAGATACACTTATAAATTCCTGTTTACTGTTTAATCAAATTAAACGAATATATCATCAATATCATCTGAATAATTTGGACTACATAGTCATAGTTTCGTATCAAAAAACTACCACAAAAGACAGAAAAAGCTAAATTGATAATTATTTCAGCAATAAAATCTAAATAAAACTAAATAATAAAAATTTGAAAGGTGTTCAGATTTTAAACGACACCCAAACGGGCTCTTTTAAAATTAAAACATGTTTTCTCAGTAGAGCTTTTTCAACAGAGATGGGCTAGGTATATTAGCAAAGCATTTTACATACTGGAAGAACATACATTCAAACTAATATTGGAATGCTAATTCAAAAGTCAAACAACAAAAATCAGCGTTATATTTACAAAATTTTCACAGTCAAAATTTTCACAGTTTGTAAATATAACGCTGATTTTTGTTGTTTGACTTCTGAATTAGTATTTATTCGGCGTGTTATTGTGTCTTAATATTGGAATATTATATGTAGGGGAGTACTAAAAAACTTCCCCGATATATGATCCCCTGGTGGCCTATCTTATCAGCCAATCGAAATGAAATTTTAGATATTATTACTTGGAGGTATGCCCTCGAGATCGTGATGATTTAAAATACTAAAGCTCTTATGGTTACGGTTACAGTGAAAACATATCGAAATTTTCAAATAGCACCGCCCACTTTTTTTTTTTCCCGTAAATGGATCAGCACATTGAAAAACCATAAACGGCATTGGAACGACACATGTATGACGAAAATTGCCGGCGTAAAACGTTTGCAAAGAAGAGCACCGTAAAGGATGACAAATAGAGCGGAGAAAATTTGATGCACTTTGCATAATTCACAGAGACAGACAACAGAAGCACCATGTGAAGCATCGCTTGTGAAAAATCCTTTAATTAGCAGTGTGGAAAAGTTGTTTCTTCAGTTGGGTATTCTTTGACTGAATACTTTGTTTTAAACAGCTTAAGGTCTGTAACAAACTGACACTTAAGGAAGCAACGAGGTGAATTGATAAAGCTGTTTCACCTGAATGCGGAAAATGCTGGAGAAGCAGTGCAAGTTTATCATCGAAATAAGCTAAGACGAAGCCCATTCTTCATAAAAACTGTAAACTATTTGGTAAAATATCTAAAGAAACTGGATACACATGTGACAGATCAAGATTCAGCCGACCATGTGTTCTTGTTGGAAATTGTTGAGATTACTGCAGATCCATTGCATATTGCTATAAGTGGTGCCCGCGGTTTGGAAGCAGCAAAAACCACAGAATTTAGGCTTCTGCGCTTTGTTCTACGAATGTATTCTTATCAATTTCAGCGCGTCCAGATGTTGCAATCTGGAGCAACAGTGTGTCGACTTTGCTAATTTTTTCCTCACCATTATGATGAAGGTAGCAAGTGACCACTGCGAATTATTATGGACGGATGATGCGCATTTCTCCGTAAATGGGAAAGTAAATTCTAAGAACTTGTCTAATGAAAATCCTGACGATATGCAACCCAGCGCCTTTATATCAAGCTAAAGTGATTGTGTGGAGCATCGCAAGCACACTCATTCTCTGGCCGTATTTCTTCAAGAAGATTACTTCCGTAGGTATAAAATATCCTTCATCACAAGTGTTCAGTATACAACCATGTTGCAGAATTACGTGATTCTGGAAATTGCAGTAGCGAAATGTCATTAATGGCATGGATATGGATAGAAGATGGTGCTCTTTCGCCCGTCGACGCATGTTTTCGATAAGAGCTGCAATAGCAGTTTGGAGATAAAGTCATCACCCGTAACTTGGTAGTTTCGTAGACACCGCAATCTCCCGACCTCAGCCCGGTAGATTTCTGGTTCTGGGATTATCTGAAATCTAAACTGTACACATCAAATCGACGAGATACGTCAGAATTGAAAGATATCATAAAACGTGAATCTATCCAGATTCCCCCAGCTATGTTATGTTCGTCATTGTTGCCAACATTCTCCCGCCCACAATGCGTTATCGTCTGCGATGGTGAGCAAGTTGAAAACTTTAATTCCCATAAATATATATTTTCCCTCTCCTCCCTTTTGTTGTCATTGGTCCTATAAAATGCTTCTCTTTGCAAGCGTTTTATGCTGGTGATTTT